GATCCTCCTGCGTCAGCCTCCCAAGTAGCCAGGACTATAGGTGCACACCACCATGCCTGCCTAATTTTTAAATTATTTGTAGAGATGGGGGTCTTGCTATGTTGCCCAGGCTGCTCTCAAACTCCTGAGCTCAAGCGACCCTCCCACCTCAGCCTCCCAAAGTACTGGGATAACAGGCGTGAACCACTGCACCCAGCCTTTTTCTGGCTATTTAATTTCAATGGGATCATATAGTATGTGGATCAAAAGTATACATCTTTTGTGTCTGGCTTTTCTTATTTTTATTTTTGAGATGGAGTCTCGCTCTGTTGCCCAGGCTGGAGTGCAGTGGCACGATATTGACTCACCGAAACCTCCACCTCCTGGCTTCAAGCGATTCTCCTGCCTCGACCTCCCCAGTAACTGGGATTTCAGGCATGTGCCACCATGCCCAGCTAATTTTGTATTTTTAGTAGAGACAGGGTTTCACCATGTTGGCCAGGCTGGTCTTGAACTCCTGACCTTGTGATCCGCCCGCCTTGGCCTCCCAAAGTGCTGGAATTACAGGAGTGAGCCACCATGCCCAGGTGTATCTGGTTTCTTTCACGGAGCGTAAGTCTCCAAGGCTCATCCGAGTTGCAGTGTGTATGAGGACTGCATTCTCTTTACAGCTAAGCAATGTTCTACAGTGTGGTTACCACGCATTGTGTCCGTGCACTCATGAGGCAAGGGACCAGCCCGTGTTCTCTGAGCTGGGCTGACTTGGGCTCTGAAATGTGAAGTAACTTGCTCTCCAGGAGGCACGTGAAGAAGTTGCTTCATCCTTTTGAAGTCTGCCCAGCAGCCCTAACTGCTAGACTGGGCTCCCCAGTTGCTGGTCTCATCAGGATAGCAATGGAGAGTTCACTCTTTCCGAGAAGGATGTTTTATGTGTTTACAGGCATTCTGTAATTATGTTTATTATTTACGGTCAGTTTTAGGGACATAAAATTGCCACTGTATTGTTGGGAGTAAATTTTATTTCCGTGGTTTTAACACACACACAGAAATAATAATCATATTAGTAGCTGAATATTGTCATGATTCTGTAAGATATAAATTTTACTGCAATAACAACTATAAAATACCAAGAACCCACTGCAGCAGGATTATTAGGAATAAATGTTACTGCTGCTTCCAAAACTCAAAGGATCACTCCATTGGCGGCTGCAAAGAGACCTCACTCTGGTGAGTGTAAAGGCACTGTGCGAGCTACTCTAAACCCACAATACTCGACAACTGCGTTGGGATGATTGCGAATCCATTTTATGTCTCCAATGAAGACACAAATAAAATGAATGATGCCCTTTGTAGTTAAATTTTTCCAGCGAAGACACAAATAAAATGAATGATACCCTTTGTAGTTAAATTTTCAATCATCTTGCCGGCAAGAACTTTTCACTGCTGCAATTGTAAAACTATAAAATGCAAAAAGAAGAAGCCATTTCAGCCCCAGGAAAGACGAAATGATAAAAATGCAGCTTTATCTGTGAGACACGTATGGTTGGGGCAGGAAAATCGTTCTTATAGATGTGCATTTGGAGGGCCGGGCGCGGTGGCTCATGCCTGTAATCCTAGCATTTTTGGAGGCCGAGGCAGGTGGATCACCTGAGAGGTCAGGAGTTTGAGACCAGCCCAGCCAACATGGTGAAACCTCGTCTCTACTAAAAGTACAAAAATTAGCCGGGTATGGTGGTGCACAGGAGCTACTCAGGAGGCTGAGGCAGGAGAATTGTTTGAACCCAAGAGACAGAGGTGGCTGTGAGCTGGGATTGCACCACTGCAATCCAGTCTGGGTGATAAGAGTGAAACTCCGGCTCAAAAAAAAAAAAAAAAA